CTGAACTCTCAGAAATGCTTTATATTGCGGTAAATAAGGATCAGGATAAACAAATAGGCCGAATAGATGTTTATTCAGGGAGAAATAACTTACAACCTAGACAGATGAACACCAGGAAATTCAACCCGATCCTCTCCTGTCCGAGTCACGCCAGAAAGAGAGAGTGCCTTCCTGGCCCCCTCCGACCTCCTTCCTCAGGTCACCTCCGCCCATCGCTCCACCCCCCAATGGGCGTGGTCAGTGCTACAGAAGGACTACCTCACTACAATTCCCCTTTTAGTCTAAAGAAAAGATTTAGGCTTAATACAAAACTATATACAAAACAGTGAATAACAAGTGTGCTCTAAGAAAAGGAAAATCGAGAACAAAATGACCTACATATCTAGTCCTAGGGTGAGGGCAAATGGAGTTTACAATAGAGTTGTCCTAAGCTGGAAAACGTAAGTCTAGTACCTAATATATCTAACTAGGAAGAGAGAATAATAGTTGTGATAGTTTAATCTTCAACCTCATCAAGACCTGAGAAGGAAAATAACAATACTAGAGTAGACAGGAAATGCGGATGGACAACTTCCAAAAGGTGCAGCAAGGACAGAAACAGCAAGCCACCTGAACAGTCACCCTAGGTCTCACAGCGACGTTGGTACACCCAGATTTGGCTAAGGCCAAGAGAACTTGACAGACCACAACAACAGCAGGGAAATAGAATGGCTGTCTTACCCTGACTTGGCAAGATCAAGCAGTCTTCTATATTTGTCTCCTGCAAGCACATAGGACTGTATGTCCAAATCAGTGGTCAAGGTGGGGGCAATTCTATGCCCAACAGGCCATTAGCTGAGGCGAGATTGAACTCCAGCAGGAGCAACAACAGTGTCCAACATATTTTCGGGAAAGTGCACGGTGCTGTCAGGAGCAACAGTGTCTCATGTCAATGGAGTACTAATATTAAAACATTTAAATGCCATGTTCTGCATGTCTATGAAGTGATTGAAGATTAAGCATCTATATCTGACTAATCTCATAGGTACAGGAAATGTGAGTGAAGATAATCTGTAATACTCAGGAACTTAGCTAAAAAGACTGATTAAAACTTTCCTGAGTAAAGCAGGAACAAATACTTAAACAATATAACTATTTACATATACCTACATGTAAATCCCTAAAATAGAGGTAGAGTATAAGTGTCAAGACAAGAGGTAGAACTATAAAGGGCAGCAAGATAAATATCCCAAATTGTATCAATATACAAAATGTCTTGAATACAGGAAAAGTATACATACATAGAATATGGTAAAAAATAATGTGCATAAAATATTATAAGTGGAAACATTTAACACAATATAACAAAATATAAACTTAATTTTACATAGCTTACCACATAGGAATACATAACAATGTAAGCTGTAAAATACTATCTCATTCATACTCAAATTCTCAAGGAAATAGGCTAATCTACTTATATCCCATCTAAACCATACCTTTACCAACCATTCCCTATTCCTGTCTAAAAGATAAACCCGAGTGTAAGCATCACCCAATCCCAAATAACTAAAACCAACCCAAAGACGATGACTATTATCCCAAAATTTCAAGGGTAGGGAAAGGGGGCGTAGTCATATTAAGATTACTTTCTGTTGAAATGGGAAGATGATTAAATCATAAATAATATATCATCACACACAACCTTACTTCACATGTATTTGTGCTCTAAGACCCTTTATTTAATGCATACTGTCAATTCATAGGATTTGTGACCAATAGCACTTTGACTCAAGCCTACAAGGAGCTCATGTAACACACATCCTGCCTCTGTAAGTGAATCAGAGTCTTCTTAGGCATCTCAACAGGTCAGCTACATTTCACTAGGGGGACATTTTAAATCATCAAAAATTAGCATAGAAATTTGGGGGGAAAGAACAGCTCTAGATATAACACACCAGCATACTTTGCTTCTTAGTCACCCATAGGTGGACAGTTGGGTACTTTCTACCTCTTGAGTGTAATAAATGGCAGTGCTATGAATACAGATAAACAAAGACCTCTGTGGGCTCTTGCTTTCAGTTCTTTTGGTGATTTACCCAGAAGTAGCATTACTAGACCCTGCAGTAAGTCTGTTTAACTTTTGGTTTGTCTGAGACAGGGTCTTACTGCATAGCCCTGGCTGGCCTGGAACTCACTATGTGAGCCACGTTGGTCTCAGAGTCAGAGATCTGTCTGCTTCTGCCTCCCAAGTGCCAAGATTAAAGGTGTGTGTCACGCCAGCTCAGTTTAAACAGTTAAGGAACTGTCATGCCATCCTCCAGAACAGTTGTAACAAGTTACATTTCCTCCAACAGCACTTAAGCGTTCCATTGTTTCATTTCCTGACCATGCACACGTGGAGGTCAGAGGACAACTTCAGCAGTCAGATCTCTTCTTGACCATGAGGGTCCTGAGGATGGACCTCGGTGACAAGTATGTTTGCTCACTGAATCATTTTGCTAGCCTCCAAGATGTATGTTCTTTTTTGAGACAGGGTCTCTCTCTCTAGCCTTGACTGTCCTGGGACTTGCTATATTAATCAGGCTGGCCTCAAATGAGAGATCCACCTGCCTTTGCCTCGTGAGTGATGGGATTAAACGTATGGGCCACCATGCCCAGCTACACATTTTTTGTTTTTAAAGTAGCTATCTTGATAGATGTTTGGTGATGGCTTGCTGTGGCTCTGATCTGCATTTTTGCAGTGGTTAGAGATGCTGATCTCTTCTCGTGCTTATTGACCACTTGGATGTCTTCTTCAAAAGATTGTTCAAGTCCTCCACCTTCCTATAAACTTCAAACTGCAGGGTGAATAAGGTTTAGATGGAAGGTTGTAAAGTGTGTGTGTGTGTGTGTGTGTGTGTGTGTGTGTATGTGTGTGTGTGTGTGTGTGTGTGTGTTTCTGGATATTGGATTCAGGGTCTTTGGCATCACTGAGCTACATTCACTACCCTCCTCATATTTTTTTATTGAGAAGTTTGCATTTTTGTTGTTGATAGTAATTCCTTACTTTGTTGTCAAATATGAAATTGACAAATATTTCCTCCCATTCTGTGATGATCTTTACCCTACTGATAGTATTCTTTAGCATAAAAGTTGAGAAACAATTTTTTAAATGTGAAATACAGAGAGGCTATGACGGTTAGCAGTTGTGACTATGGTGAAAAGTATTGTTGCTGCTTTTGTTGTGATAAATATGTAAAAGAAGCCCCAAGAAGATAGTAAATAGAGGTAAAACTATCTGAAATCCATTACCACATCAATCCACTTTCCGTGTGAACAATTCTTGGTCTTGTCTAGAAGGAGGTTTGGAAGATGAAAACCTGTCCGGGGGACAGTGCAGGCAAAGCCTTCACTAGAAACCTGTGTTGGTACCCAAAGAGACTTTCTGAACACAGAATTCCAAAACACAATGCAAGCTGACAAGGGGGTCATTTAGAATTGGATGTTGCTTGGTAATGGAGCAGAGGGAGTGAAACTTGTTCTCCACATCCTTAGGTTAAATTCCAGTAGTTTTTGGAACTCAGGGACTAGACTCCAAATTAACCTGTCCCTTTTGAACTTGAAGATTGTGGTTCCATTGAAGTCTAGTTATCAGTGCCAAAGAGCGAAGACTAGGCATGCTACAGCATGGTGAGGGTTAGACAGAAGGATGTGAGTCCCAACACTTGTTTCTAGACTTAGTAAACAAGGAAACTCCCAAGTTTATATTTCCTTGGCTTGGCTCCAAGAGGCTTTTTGTTGTTGTTAACTCTGGCACAGTATTCTCAACCTTCCTAATGCTGCAACCCTTTAATGCAGTTCCTCATGTTGTGTTGACCCCAACCATAAAATTATTTTCATTACTACTTCATAACTATAATTTTACTATTATTATGAATCACAATGTTAATAACTTCTTTTTTTGAGACAGAAGTTTGCTAAAGGGGTCACAGCCCACAGTTTGAGAACCACTAGAGTCCACTGACAAGATATTTAGAATGAAACTTCCATGGGCTGGAGAGATGGCTCAGTGGTTAAGGGTGCTGGCTACTCTTCCACAGGATCTGGGTTCAATTCCCAGCACCAACATGGCAGCTCACAACTATTTGTAGCTCCAATCCAGGTGATCCAACACCTTCACAGACATATATGTGCAGGCAAAACACCAATGCACATTAAGTGAAACATAAATAATAAATAAAGAACTAAAGGAAAAAAAAAACCTCCTACAGGAGAAGGGCATATAGGTCCTGAATTGCCCTTTAAATGCAGAAAGAGACTATATTTTGAGGAAGAATGCTATCTGTGGAAACTGCAGACTACACATCTGTCTTTAGCCACCAAAGGTCATGGGTGAGGAGACTGGGTGTGTAGTGAGAATGAAAGGAAATGCAGTACTTCTGCCCAAGCAGGTGCGGGAGTCTCCTCTACCAGCTGAAAGGCTGAAGTGAACTGGGGGGGGGGGTGCTTTCCACTCCTACGGCTCCACCAGGCTCTAGCAAGCAAGTCTCCCATGGGACTGGCATTAGAATACAGAGGTGACCATAACGCTGGGTCAGTTAAGATAGTTAGCAGTTTCCATTGTTCCTTTAAGAGGTGTTTTCAAGTGGTTAGTTCTGCAAAAAGGGCAAGAGTGAGTCACAGCTATGTGTCAGAAACAACTGGGGATTTTCAGAAAAGTTGAGAGCAGACCCAAGAGAAAGAAATTAATTACAGCCAAATACAGAAGCCTCTTAAATCAACACTTTTGGAATTTATGGGACTGTAAGCACCTCCCCCCCATTATAGACACTGTCTTGTAAAATTTAAGAGTGACAGCTTAAAAACAACAAGAAACCTATCCATTTAGTTTCTAGAATAAGAAAAAAAAATACAATGGAGGAAATGTATTTTGATAATTGGTGTCCTGATTATGTAGCTGAGTGGATTTTTCACATTTTCCTTTCTACTATTATTGATGTTTATGAGAAAAAGTCCAGTTTGTGCCATTAGGTGTAAATTCAGGGTTTCCCAACATTTTTTGGATCCCGGTGACATGTGATTTTAGTGATGGCTGCCTTGACATCCTTGTTCCTCAGGGTGTAGATGAGAGGGTTCAGGACAGGGGTGAGAATGGCGTACACCACATTGCCCATGATGTGGAAGTCCAGGGGCAGCTCAGCCCTGTAGGCCACATAGGCTATGGCAATGGATGAGTAATAGGTGCCCACCACCAGGAGGTGGGAGCTGCAGGTGGAGAAGGCTTTGGAACGCCCTTCCCTGGAGTTGATGCGCAGCACCGAGGCCAGGATGCGGGCATAGGAGAGAAGCACCAGCAGGAGGGGGAGGAAGGACACCACCATGGCGATGCAGAAGCCCATGAGGGTCTGGGGGCTGGTGTCTGAGCAGGAGGCCTGGACCACAGCCAGGTGGTCACAGAAGCAGTGGTAGATGTAGGCGATGCTGTTAAATGCCATCTGGGAGGTCTGTGCCACTGCTGGGATGGGCAGGAGGAGGGCAGTGATCCAAGCACTGGCTGCCAGTGCAGTGTTTGTTTGTGGGGTCATGTGGACAGGGTAGTGCAGAGGGCGGCAGATGGCCACATAGCGGTCATAGGCCATGACCACCAGGATGAAGGCTTCTGAGCAGGAGAAACTGTGGAAGAGGTACATCTGAAGGAAGCAGGCAGGGAAACTGAGGAATCTGTCCCCAAGCAGGAATAGGGACAGCATCTTAGGGACCGTGGTTGTGGTGAAAAGGATGTCCAGGGCAGAGAGGTTGATTAGGAAGAAGTACATGGGCTTGTGGAGGCTGGGCTCTGTCACCACGGCCGCCAGGATCAGGGTGTTCCCCGCCAGGATGAGCAGGTAGAAGAGGAGGAAGAGGAAGAAGACAGGAAGGAAGAGGGAATTTTGCAGAGAGGGGATGCCTGTAAGGTAGAAGATGGTCTTAGAGTCCCCTGACCCATTGCAGGTTACGTTATCCATGGCAGCTTAAAGCCGGATGGATGCTCAGGAGGTTCTCACGCCCATCTGTAAACAGAAGAACCAAGGTTCTGGGATGAGAATTACATAATGGTCATTGTCTAATGGAGATAACCAACTCATATACTGTCAATTCTAGAGGAAGGACGACAGGTTCTGTCTTGTACCAGAGTCCTCACCCATGCCAGGGCTCTCTCTTTCCTTAAATCTAGCATGGCTGAAGCACCTGCAATATCAACATCACAGCAAAAACACAATGTGAGAGCCACAGAGGTATCCTATAATAGAAAACATTACATGTCATCTATGCAGTAGATGCAGATTTGTTGATTGGATGGAGGTTTGAGCCTCATAGGACTGAAAGCCTTGTGGCAAAGAAAGGCATGACACAAACAATGACGTAATTACATAACTGCAGTTGCGTTAAGTACTGTATATAAACTTGAACTGTCTTTTCCATATCCTATTTGGTCCTTTTGGGAATATCAGATCTTCAGTCAATTAACTCATTTACTTTTTCTTTGGGATTTGTCTCAAGGTGTTGGTTTTGGGTTTTGATGCATTTGTGGGTTTGCAGTGGGATGGGGAGGTAGATGTCTCTATTCTTTCTGGAAACACACTGCCTTCCAACTGTTAAGACACTACTGCCTCCCCTCTTGATTGCTTGGTCCTGCTATCTCCTTCTAAGGTGAGACATTTGTCACCCCACTCTGTGTGTGAGGGGTCTCTGTCATTTTAAGAAGGGATGTCTCTGTCAAGTCAGGGGTCTGGGCAGTGATTTCCCATCAATTCTGCAACAAGACAGAATCCATGACAGTCTGTCTCCCTGCAGGCCTATTGACTGCTTCTCTCCAGTGAATGCTGAAGTCCAGGAGGTGCCCTAATTGATCACTGGATGGCCATCATCCAGAGGCCTCCTTGATCTCTGCTCAGAAGGTGTCATATGTCCTGGGATGGATGAGGGGTAATTTGTACAGAACTTGGGATATGCTTGCAATATTGATTCCCACAGAAAAGAACTCCCGAAAGAACCTACAGATGTGGAGACTTAAGCTAAAGGAAAACACTGATTTATTCTCAGCCTTAGACTTGTCCTCTGGACATTGGAAGCAAGTGTCTGCTGACATTGGTAATACCTTGTCTTTAATCTTGATGATCCCATTACTTCTGTTTTCCCATTTTCTAACAAAACATTTTACGTGAATAAACCATTATGTAATACTGAGTTCTTTTGCAGTCACCCAGATCTTCATAGACCAGAGACTTTGCACAAGAAGTTGGGGACTTTACCAGGGCCATACCAGCTGGCTGCAAGGTCAGGAATGTTGTGTGGACTCTGTGGACTCTCTCATTCCTGGGGCATGGATCTTTCTCCTTTACCTCTTTCCCAAAGAACCCAGACATCAAGTCTCCAAACCAAAAATATTTGGACAGAGGTTTCTACTTCCCCTCCCATTTTTTTCAGTTGATAAAATCTGAGAAGACTAGATTGCAAATATTTCTCTGGTGCTCTATATAGAAGAACTTAAATTGGTGTCTGACAATCAAATACCTCTTTGGCAATATGCCCCTTGCCTTGACAAAAAAGTGAGCCAGCTTTGTTCCAAATTCAAACTCCTTGAAGCAGGCCCCCAGTAAGGTCGATTCAAACCTTAAGGGTTACCAACTGCCCTACAAGATGCTGCTGCACTCAGTAGACCATGGGCTGGCTGCCCTCCCAGGATCAGACTGAGCTAGGGAGAGGGGTGGGGCTGCTGGAGGATCTAAAACTGAGGGGATTCACCAGAGGTGTCCTAGCTTCCCTTGCATCTCCCTCCTCTGCCCACTGTTTGCTGACAGACATAGATGCTGAGCTCCTGGTGGAGCACTCACCTGTGGATTTTGACTGCCGTGTGGTGCTGGGTTGTCCAATAGGCAGTCCAGGCCTGGGCCACCATCAAAGTAGGGTCACAAAAGCTGCTCAGTTTCTTAAAGAGTTTGATATTTGGCTCAACCAGTTCATCACAGGAAATGCCAACATCCCCTTAGACCTTACTCCACCTTCTAAATTGGGGTTGCTTTAATATAAGCTGTAGTCTAAGTAGTCCAGTCCTGTGCTTAGGACCAAAAGGACCAGCCCCAATTCTATCACTGTCTACCACAGAGAGGACAGACACATGAGTCACCTGAATGTCCAGCCTGTCCTTGATAGTCATCATCTCCCATCACAGAGCCCTCCCTGCTGGTTATGCTTCTTAAAAATGAGGAAACTGGGCTGGCTAGATGAAGTAAGGCAGTGGTTCTCAACCTTCCTAATGCTGTGACCCTTTAATACAGTTCCTCACATTGTGGTGAACCCCAAACCATAAAATTGTTTTTGTTGCTCTTTTATAACTGTAATTAGCTATTGTTCTGAATTACAAATACCTGATATGCAAGATGTCTGGTCTGTGACCCACAGGTTGAGAAGCACTAGTGTAGAGAGTAAATGCTCTTGCTGCTCGAGCTTGGTAACCCAAGTTTGGTCCCAGAATCCACAGTGGAAGCAAAGAACTAAATCCCCAAAGTTGTCCTCCCATATTCACACTTGTTCTGGAGCACAGGTACACATGAATTCATAAACACATCTCTCACACATCACACATACCACCCCCCCACACACTAATAAGTCAGATAAAGATAGGAACATATAATCAAAAAATGAAATGAAATAATTAAAGTTAAGAGAAGGACAGGCTCTCATCCGAGGCCATAGGGTAAGGAGTGAGAGCAGAGGGTGCTCCTGAAGCCAGCCTACCCGAAAGGTCTCAGCCCTACCTGCCAATCAAGAGTTTGAACACTGAGCCAGCCCTTACCCATTCTTGCTGGGACCTTCATCATTGTTCATCTCATCTATACAGGAAGGCTTTGATGGATAATCTCAGAAGCACTGACAGTTCAATGATACCTTCTAAGTGTCCCCATTGTGTTTGGCAGAGTTGGGGGATGAAAAGGCATGATCTTCACCACAAAGCCAGACTCTGCCTTCTCTCTGCCACACCCACTGTAGCAGGTAAGTATGTGGTCTTGGAAGATAGGACAAAATCCAAATGCCTGTTCACCGTTAGCTCTGTGACGTTCAGTGAACCTCGTCTTTTGAGCGCCATCTCCCTGCCTGTGACTATATGGGCTTTCCTTTAAGTAGACAGTGCTTATACAATGCTCACAAAGGCTGGACCTCATAAGAACTGTTAGCTGGTGTTTCCAATGGCTCCTGCTTTCATCATCCTTGTCCTTCTGTAGGAAGATCTGGGCCCAGATGGTTTGAATTCCACTCTTGGCACACCTTGATGCCCTCACCTAGCAGTGTACCTAACCCAAGGTCTAAGAGCTACTGTGTATCCAGTCATTCTAGAGCCTGAGGAATTGCCTCTGTTTATATACAACCCAACTGGTCTACAACCAGCAAGCCCCTGCCTTCTTTTCACCTCAGTATTCTCTGCCTCTGTCTGGCTCCTCCATCCCCAGAAACACTCACCTGTTGGGTCTGCTTCACAACGGTGTCTTCAGGGGTTCTCTACACTAGGCTTGGGTGGAAGCAGCAGGTTGGGCTGAGCTGTGGCCCATTAAACCCTCAGCCCTCTCCTTTCAATCAGGTCTCCTGGGTACTCTTCTTTAAGATGCATCTCCCCTAGTTCCACCCCAGCATCCTCAGGGATCACTTCTTGGTGTCTCCTACAACATGGATATGATTAAAGTAGGCTTTATCCCCAGACTTCAGTGCTAATGAGAAGATCATCACTAATAGCACTCAAGGGACCAGAATTTTACATCAATGGTGTAACCTTTGTTCTTGTTATCCCATCTCACCCTCACAACCAAGGAGACAGGAAGTGACAGCAGGGGACAACAGGAAGTCCAAAAGGACAGTGAGGCATGGAGTGATATAGCCTACCTGTTTTAACAGCAGTGGCTGGAGGCAGTTTTCTGACTCAGAGATCTATATTTTGCTGACAGCCTAGACCACTGACTGTAGAGAATTGTATATTGCTAGTGGAAGGCCTGGGGTATTAAATATTAAAGAACCTCCTGTCTTGGTTTGCTGGCTTTCCGCTAACTTTCACTGTTTCTCATAAGAATACTGATATGCCTTCCTGAGAAACCCCTGGTACCAGGAATAGTTCTTGCTCTCACCACATAGCCACGACTGCATTTCCCATTTATAATTAATTACATTAGCACCCTTTCTTTGCTTGTTGAATCAATGGTATTAGGATCCCTAGAATTTCAGGTAGCAATATATATATATATATATATATATATATATATATATATATATATATATATATATCTGGTTATAGACTCTGGCCATGCAGACTGCCTGACAGTGGCTGCCGGTTAAGGGTGCATATTTGAACTTGTCAGATAGCACACTGCTCTACCAGGTGTGGTTATCCAGTCTGTACCTAAACTAAACCTATAGCTTTTTCTTCATTCACCCAGACTATCTGCTTCTGAATGATGGTAAACATTCCAAGATCAGTGACTACTATGGGTGCAAGACTGGTCTATTTCTTTTGCCCTTCCTATCTCAAAAGCAAGGCCTTATGTGATATTATGACAATGAACAAGATGTAATAGCTTGAATCTGAAATGTCTCCCAAGGAGTCACATATTGAAGGCATAGTTCCCAGAAGATCTGGAGCTGATTGGACCGGGAGGGCTCTTGCTTCATTGGTGGATTAATCCACTGGCAGGGTCGTAATTTGATGGCCTTGATGGGTGGTTTTGGAAACTGGAGGCAGTACCCAGCTGCAGGGAGAAAGTCACTGATGGCATGCCCTTGAAGGGCCTCTCTTGACCCTACCCACCCTCTCCTGCTTCCTTGGTTGTCATAAGGTGAACAGTTGTCACATGTCCCTCCTATGGTGTTGTGCCTTAGTGCAAGCCCATAGAGATGAGACCAAGAAATCCTAGGCTGAAATCCCAACACTGTGGGCTACAACCAACCTTCCCTCATCCCATGCAATGGCCATGATTTTGCC